ATACATATATATATATATATATATATATATATATATATATAATGAAATTCATAGTTGGTGGTCAATCACTTCAACTTCAACATTTTGACGAACCATCCACCAAACAAAGACAACCTACTTAGGAAAAAGCCACAAGATGATACGAAATATATTTCAAAGACTATAAAGTATAAATACATACATTATTAATAATTATTGTCTAACTTGAGGCATGTTTGATACATGTCTAAATTAGGTCTGATTCTGATTTTCAAACACATGTTGTTGAATGAATTTTATTTCCTTCGAATGAATTACACCCACAAACGTTGATCATCGTGCAATAAATTGCAAACCGTACGATAAATATAAAATGCATACTCCACCAATTAGATCACCCGTGTATGCTAGCATTTCATTTTTCAATGTTTGGATAAATCGACTCGAAATAATTCATGCGGATCGACAGCGAATTAAAAATTAGATAGTTGAGATGTTAATATCTACTCTAGCTGTGTTGCATAAATTAACAAGAAAATCGACAGTAGCTTTAAATTTACACACAAACGGTACATCATCGAGAGGTCGATTTAATACATATAATATTGACTATAAACAATAGCGTTTAGTCAATATTTTCAGAAAACACGAAAATAAAATCTGTATCTATTTGATTCACAAAATCTGCAGTGATTTCCAAAATGTGTATCTATTTCTTGATAATTCATGAATAGTATGTCAAAATCAAATCCCAGATCATATTTATATATGTGGGAAAGGGATGTATATATATATATATATATTGCAAAGAGTTGATCAAGAAATGTTGCTAAACTTGATATACACAGTTCTCTGCTGAAATGCATTGACAGCATAATCGACCTGAAAGTATCCGACACGAGATTTTAATCGAACCCCATATCCAACACCGAGTCCATGCCCTGGTTTACCATGCCTAAGACCAGGATTTCCTGAATATCAAAAATAAATTAAAAAATCGGAATGAGAACACAAAAATGCTAACGAATCCCCAAGAAAAAGCAAACGTTTGCCTATCTTTAAACTTTGCATAGGAAATGAGAACATTTTTGCTTTTCTCAAGAAAGAACTTGCGTTTCGTCGGATTTTTAGCTAACAAGAGTAATTACGGACGACCCCAACAGATCAGGAAAACAGTAGATTTTACTTGATATCCAAAAAAGGTAGTCTTCGGCTTTGAAATCGATATAAATAAACCATGTCTCGAGCTTCACATCACATTTTACTAATTATCAGAGATTTTTTTTTTTAAAGATAATCGACATATAATGTTTTTATATATATATTGAAGTCCTGCATTGAACGAAAACTGACCAGGCACAAGACGACCAGTGCCCATATCAGATCCACAGTCCAAGAAAGCAACACCATCTACCATTGGGTTCTGATACAAATCAGAGCAAAGAGATGTCAATCACAAATAGCAAAGTGTCTTAATACGAACAAAACCTATTTAAATTAAATTGTCACAGAAGCAAGAGGAAAAAAGATAAAAAATAAAATAAACATAAGTTTTGAAGCATGCGAGGAAGAACATGACGAAGAGAAATTGAAACGAGTTCAAGGCTGTAATAATTACAAAGAACGCCAAAATCTTTAAGTTTTTTACACGGAGAAATACGGTCAAAAGAAGTTCTCCGAATTTAGCATCTAATTATTACGAGACTACGGAATTACGTACCAGTGAGAATGTGAGTTCACTGTTAGCAATTAGGCAAGATCGACCAGATCCAACTGCACCTTCAGCGTAGCCACGTACACTACCCTGTCCGCCTATTGTAAAGGCTTGATAAGGAGCTATATCTCCTACGATGGACCCTCCCGTGAGGCTGCCAGAAAAAAAAAGTAGGTTTCAAATATAGTATTGATAATAAAATAACAGGTTATACTGCTATGAGCTATCAGACTAGGCGAAAACTTTCTTGCATTTCAAATTGAATTTAGAATTCCATTGAGGTTGTTTGGATTGAGTTATTTGACAAGGAATTTCAAATCCCTATTTAATTGGAGTCCTTTCAAATCCATTCATTTCAAATCCCTCAATCCAAACGCAGCCTAATTGTTTCTGCATATAACTCTTTCCCGATTTCCTATACTTTAGTTTTGTGTATCAATTTAGCATGCGAAGGGCATTACTTAGTTACCTTGTTAGAAGAAATGCGGGTCCCAGCTTTAATCCCTTCGATGCAACAAACTTGAACTTATTGAAGATCAGCCACTTCGAAAGAATAGCAATTCCCTGTTCTATTTGCAGACTAAACTGCATCGAATAGGAAAACCAACCGATGAAAACAAAGTTGGCGAAACAAATTGGATTAATTACAAAGATTGACGAGCGAAAAATGTATCTACCTGAGAAAAAGTGCGATCGCTCGCCTCTGCATATCGAGATTCTTGTTTGACTACAACCATACTATCATAGTAGCCACCGCTGAAGAACAAGCAAGCAACAAAAGAAGAAGAAGAAGAAGAAGAAGAAGAAGAAGAAGAAGAAGAAGAAGAAGAAGAAGAAGAAGAAGAAGAAGAAGAAAAATCACTAATCACTTTTGGAATAATTAGGGAAATGGATTATTACTTATTATTATTTATTAATATATTAATGTACCTGCAAGTCACGGGTAATCCATGAAGATCTCTACTAATAGAGCGGCCATCGTCGTTGACTGGACGAACATGCTGATTTGAATCTTCCGTGAGTGCAGTGTGAAAAAAGACTAGTATATTTATTTATACACAGAGCTATTTTACAAGATGTACCTCAAACTTGACACTGGTTTTAATGCTCCAATTGTTATTTGCAGGCTCGACTAAATCCACACCAGCAGAGAAACGAGAGAGATTAACACCTCCACTCACTATACGAGATAAGTTGTCAACAGGGATTCCATGAATTCCCAACTCCGGAGACAGAGTGTGCTGGACAGAAAAAAGTAATTTCATATTAAGATTTATAATTAGTAGCAAAATTACGGTTCAAATTAGTAGAACGTACGAAATATTTTTCTGAATAATGAAATTACTGCACAAAATTTACTTAAGAATGGAGTCTCCTTTAATAACAAAATACCATTGTAGTGATAATCGAACGCAGTTACCAATTAATCGATCAAGTGTGACTAAACAATACACAGAATAGCAACTCAGATGATAAAAAATAAAATTGATACTGCGCTAACTGCAAAATATAGCAACCTGAATGGTGAAGCCATGCTGTAAAAGCCACTCCGATTTCGGTTTCCGATAAGTAAACAAGATGTTCGAATCACGAAGACCTTTATCCCACAAGAAATGAAGCTTTTCACCTTGTCCAAATAAATTCGGATGCTTAACGCAAAGGCTGCCGAAAAGGAAAAAAAAACAATATCCAACAACAAACCTCGAAATTAATTCCCAATTCGAAGTATTGCTCTAATTACTTCAACCACGGAGAAATCGAAAGACACAGAAACGCTTACCTTCCAATTATAAGTGAAAGTGAGTTCTCTCCACTAGCATTTCTGGTCACACAAACCAAAACAGGGCATTGTTCATAAACACAATCAACAAGTAAAAAACGCATTTCATCAAATATATATATATAGATAATATGTATATATATATACATACAGGTTGATTGACAAAAGAAAATAAACCTGAAAGGATGAAGCATCAAAGCAGCACATAGTTTGTGGGTGAAATCAACATTGAAGTCTACCTTGGCTACACACACACCAGACCAACAGAGATTAATTTTGTTAAAATATAAATTGGGAAGCATTAATTTTATTTAATTTTTCCCTCGAATTTTAAAATTGAAATGTATCATAGATTCGCCACCCGCGAGCCAGAAAAAAAAAATTAATTGGGGGAAAAAGTAGAGAGAGAGAGAAGTAGAAGAACTGACCGTTGCCGGCATGAATGCTTTTCTTGGCTCCCATCCCATTACTGTATATCATTCGCCATTTCTCCTTTCCGCCATGGAAGTTCGAACTGGTGTTTTTTTTTATTTTGGTAAAGTAACAGTGAAGGAAACAAGTACTGACAAAGAAGCGTGCTTTGGTCGCAAGTTATCTCTTTCTTTCTGGACGGGATTCCATCTCTTAAATCGCGTTTTTACCGTAAAGCGCTTTTTATTTTTATTTTTTATTTTTTGTGATGAGTAACGCATAAGCGTTATAAATATTATTTATTTAATTTAATATTTGAAAGTTGAGTACTTTTGTAGTTGTGTTGGGCTTTGATCAATGGCCTATGGCTTATGAGATTGAGAGCCACTCATATTGTGCTGGAGCTTCTAATTGGGTCGGATTTTAATTTAAATGTTTATTTTATATTATTTTCTATGGGAAAAATGTAAACAAGCTTTAACAAATCATTTGATGGCCCATGTTGTAATTACGAAAATAACCCTTATGTTTGAGTAATTACGATCACGCATCAACTATGAATCTTCTTATACGTCCGCTCTTACGGTGTCAAATGTAGTGGAGTTTTCTAGATTATTTGGAATATTCTCCAGTTTGTATTTGTTTATCCTATTTCAGCTCCACATTTTGAAATAAGATGCGTCAATTGTCGTGTAAATATAAAATTGTGGTGAATCGGAAATTGTATTTTTTTTTCTTCACAAAACGAGTACAAACTAGAGAATATTCCATGGAATGTAGAATATACCGGTGAATTTTACACCATAAAGCTGGACCTATAAGAAGATTCAGTTGATGGGGGTGGTTGTAAATACCAAAAATGAGAGTTTTTTTTTCGTAATTTACCCTTTAATTTAATATGTCACTTCTTTTTTCAAACAAATACGGTTCTCAAGTAATATTAGTAGTGAATTAAGATTTTCAATTTTGTGATGCTACACCCGGGAAAATACGTCTGGTAATTTTAAACCATAGATTTATTTATATAGATTTGCAGTTTAAAATCACCCGATACATTTTTATCGAATGTAGCATCTCATAAGCTTTGAATTACAATATATCACCAAATACTAGAACAAAAACAAGAAAAAGAGAGGTAGCTAGCCTATTCTCTTTCACCGATCCAAGAAACATGAAGAATTTACCAATCCAATCCAAGAACACATGAATTTTTTTATTAGTTTTTCCAACTATAAAAATGGCTGCCAAATAATTCATTCATTCACCATCACAGAACTGTTTCCACTTATATTTTTTAGATAAACATTTACATATGTACATATATATATATATAGAAGATGAAAATTTCCAACAAGAACAAAATGATGGCCACAGTTTGTCTATTAGTTCTCATTGCAACGTGCACACGCGCAGAGGTACACGTGCAAGTGAAGAACGAGCTGAAAAATGGGGTCCGCATGAACGTCCACTGCCGCTCGAGGGATGACGACCTCGGCCTCCACACCGTGGACCCCGGCGATGCCATGAAGTGGGATTTCACGCCCAACTTTTGGGGCACCACTTTGTTCTATTGCGACGTGCAGTGGAGTGAAGATCACTCCATTTGGTACCATTTTGATGCGTACAATGACGATAGAGACTATCGCAGGTGCCATTTTACATGTCGATGGATGATTTCTGGGAATGGAACGTTGTACGGGTACGACGATGTATCGGGCTACTGGAGTTGGTACCCTCTGATTGTTATTAAATCATGAATTTTCGCATCAACGTGCAACAATTAGTGTTTATATTTGAGAACCAGATTTTTATCGAATAGTATTACGGTCAATTTTGGTGTCGTATAGACAATTATAAATACATATTCAGGTGAACTTCATTTGTTGTAACATAGAACATAAACCGTCAAATTTCGTACAATAAAGTATGAATATGTCACATAATGCATGACCAATGTTTAAAAGGGGTGACCATAGATATAAGGGGAGCATGTTTTGTGCCGTGATTGCCCTGTCCCTGGCGGCCTCAATTGTCTCCCCATCTTGCTGTACGGTGCAAACGTCGAGCTCCACAACTATGGGGATTACGATTAGATCGGACGGTTGAGGATTAGCCACCGCTGACGCCACCTGTCTGCCGAAATCAACAGCATCGCGAGTCAACCGGTCCATTTCATCTCCAGTCATCCACTAATCATCGAGCCTGTACCAAATATGATAGAGAAGGGCGTATGGTTCGTCTTCATCCTCCTTTAACCTTACAACCATCAATTTTTCCGAGTCTATAATCTCGTCATCAGGGCCGGTCCTGGGTGATTGGAGGCCCTGTGCAAGACTTAAAATCGAGGCCCTAAATTCCGATTTTTTTTAATGTACATATATATCTATATATATGTGTGTGTGTAAGATATGGATGTATTAAATAAAAATGGGTATTAGAAAAAAGTTTTTTAATTCAACAAAAATAATTTAATTTTGTGAAATAAAAACACCAATATCATAGAAAAAACAACTAAGTTTAAACTGTAGAAACAAACAATAGAGAAATATATAGGAGTGCAAGAAAAATTAAATTAGAGTAAAACAATGTACATGAGAGAGAAATGGTAAGAACTAAGAGGACAAAAGAGATTGGGTGAAAAACAAAATAGAGAGAGATAAAGGACAAGATGGATTGGATCAAAAAATTTAATGTGGAAAGTGGGGGTTAAAGAGTTAAGAGATGAAGAGAATAGGGGTCGGAAGAAGAGAAACGAAAAATAATTATAAAATATAACAAAAATATATATTTTTTGGGCCCCATTGAAAAGTGGGCCCTGGGTCTGGGCCCTGCTCGCCCTGGGCCAGGCCGGCCCTGCTCGTCGTCGTCACCACCACCGCTTGTTGTCTTCTTCTTCTTTACGACGAAATTGATTCTCATCTCAAAGATTATATTTTTAACTCCGGGTGGTAACAAGGTGTATTCGTCGATTTTTGAAAGCAGTTCGTTATCCATCCGCATCCGATGATGATATTCCATTCCCACTCTACCAGCACCATGCGCCATCGCCCGCATGGGTGTAGCTCAACTGGTTCCGGAGGTGGTAAGTTGGTGCAAGGTCGTGGCAGCCGCAGTGTGAGAATTTCAACTCCAATGAGGGTTGGTTCCTTGTGGGCACCAGGTCCGAGTCCGGTACCTTAACGGGCCGTTGAGTTACCATGATTTACATTCCTCCATCAATCCTTGTCGGACCAAGGGATAGGAGCTCTGGGGGCGAGGGATTTCGCCTTTTGGTGCAAGCACCATGCGCCATCGATATGCACAAAACAACATATCACAAAACAATATATATATATACATACACACACACAGGGCGTAAAAGAAATTAAAACCTACATAGGAGATTCGAGATAATTACACTTTTGGTCCCTCATGTTTGGCCCGATTTCACTTTTGGTCGCCCTTGTTCCAAAGTGAACAAAGTTCACAAAGTTCACTCAAAGTTCAATTTAAACAGTTTTGGTCCCCGCCGTTACATATGCGTTAGAAAGTAACGGAAAACTCTATTTTGGGGTGAAAATTAAAATTTTAAAATCTTTTGGGGCTGAAAATTATTATAAATTTAGAATAGACTACTTATAATTTTTCATAATAAAAAAAAAATCAACGAAACAAATTATTTTTTAATATACTTAATATTATTATAATTATACTACTTATAATCATTTTTTAAGAATAAAAAAATTAACTAAACAAATTATTTTAATCATACTTAATATTATTTTTAATTATACTACTTATGATAAAAAAATTAATAGCAAAAAAATAATTTAACTAAACAAATTAGTTTTAATTATAATTAATATTATTATAATTTTACTACTTATAATTTTTTTTAATAATAAAAAATAAATTAACTAAACAAGTTATTTTTAATTATACTTAATAGTATTTTTAATTATATTAATTATAAAAAAAAAAAGAAATTAGCTGAGCAAGTCATGTATAATTATATTTAATATTATTATAATTATACTACGTATAGTTATTTTTTTAATAATAAAGAAGAAATTAACTAAATAAATTATTGTGCATTATACTTAGTATTAGTTTTCATTGTACTACTTATGATTATTTTTTAATAATAAAAAAAGAAATTAATTAAATAAATTTCATTATACTTAATATTATTAAAAGTTTAATTATAAGTAGTCTATTTTAAATTTCTAATTATTTTCCAGCCCCAAAAAAAATTAAAAATTTAATTTTCGCCCCAAAATAGTGTTTTTCGTTACTTGCTAACGGACATGTAACGGCGGGGACCAAAAGTGTTCAAAATTGAAACTTGGAGGTGAACTTTGTTCACTTTGAAACAAGGGGACCAAAAGTGAAATCGGGCCAAATATGAGGGACCAAAAGTGTAATTATCCCGAGATTCATCTATACTATGACACTTCGCCGACTTACCAATTTACAACATTATTATTTTTATTTTAACTTCTCCTTTTCTCAGTTTACTTTTACTTTAGGGACTATTAGCCATAACCTCTTCTAGTGTTTTTTTAATAAGGGGGATCCAACCATATTTATTTTTAATATTAGTGGAAAACCCACTATTTTAATGATTCCCGAAAATAGCCTTCTGGAAGACACATACACAAAATTCAGAAATTTGAGATCCCTACAATCGTCTGTGATTATATCCACCAAATCTTTCCATAAACTCCCATCTGCAAACTCTAATTTTTTTTAATATATAATTTAAATAAATTTAAATTTTGTTTTTTTTTTTATTATTTTAGTTAAAAACTAACAATAATAGCTTCAAAAAAAAATTCTTTTAATTTTTTATTTAAAAAAAATACTTTATTTTAAAAAAAAAAATTAATTTCCGTTTTTTGTTCAGAATCAACTATAAAGATTCTGAAACCAACTATAATATTTCCGAGATTGACTATAATTTTGATTTCTATATTTCATTTTTCTTAATTTCAATTTTCAGTTATTTTTGCCATTTTTTCAAGAATACAACTATTTTTTTGCTATTTTTTTTAACAAAAAACAACTATAAATTGTAAAACAACTATTAGAAAATAACTATTTTTTTCAACAGTTCATTTTTTTCGCCATAATCAACTATTAGAAAACTATAAAACAACTATATAAAATACAGTGATTTACAAATAACAAATTTACAAAAAATAAAAACAACTACAAATGAACGAAATCAGCTATAAAAGAAATGGTTAACAACTATAAATTGTGTAAATCAACACAGAATATCGAAAACAATTATAAAACTATCAAAAACTACTGTAAAGTTCTCGACAATAATTACAAAAAAATAAAAATAACAAAACCCAAAATCAACTACAAAGTAACGGAAACAAGTATAAACAGAATTAAAAAACATCATAGCAAAAATGATATAAAGAAAATCACAATAAACAAGAAAAAAAATATAAACTTTTTGCTTGAATTAAACGGCACCAGATGCGAACTTGGTCGCGAAGCGTTTTGCATCATCGGGTTTGTCGGAATGACGAATACAAGTGTGTCTAAATTCAACACTGAAAAATTTGGAAAAAGAAAATAACATTGAATTTGAATTAAAAAAAAAAAAAAACTAGTACCAGAGTACCACCCCCTGTCATAGGAACCTACAGGGGCTGTAAGCACCACTTGGGGAGAAGGCGGGGACAATGTGGTGGTGGGAGGGGAGAGTGGAAGTCGGGCATCCACTCATTGGCTGCCGTCATCGACGACGAGACGCTTGAATCGGTTTTAATAGGGCCGCAGATTTGAGAACAACGGTTGCAGGGTCTTTCCTCGTCATTGTCGAGATGTGTCGCCGCCTTCATCGTCGCCTCCATCACCATGAATTTTCAGTCCCAGAAAGAAGAGAAAAAAATGAAAGATTAATAGAACGGCGGTTGAATATAAAAGTTGAGGCTAGGGTTTGTGATTATAACATCTGACAATTTGGGGTAATATAGGTATAACATTTGATAATTATATTAATATTAATTTAAATAAATCATGAAGGGGGGTCTCACTAATATTGAAAAGGGGTGTGAATCCATCCTAATATATCCTAATGTGGTGGGGTTCTCACTAATTATCCCTTTACTTTTACATGCTATTTTTTATTTACTATATAATATTAATTAAAAAAGAATATTATACTTAAACTTCTATCACTAAATAAACTCAGAACTAACAAAATCTAAAAAAAATAGTTAATTAATAATATTTAATTGAATTTAGATGAACCCTTAGATGAAAAAATTAGTTAAATTTTAGCATGTGAGGCTAAATTAATTGATTGTAACATATATCGGGTTTTTTGCAAAGACCACCCCTGTGTAATTTTTAATTGCTGAAAAACCCCTCGTGTTAAAACAATTAGTAAATACCCCCCTATGAAAATTAGTCAAAGTCAATAAAGTCCCTGCAAGCTGACCGTGCGTTGCCCTCGCCATGAATGCGACTGGGGTTTCTTTTCTTGACCAGAAAATACCTAAATACGGCATAATTTATATTAGCACTAAAATGATTTTTTTTTAAATTTTCAACTGTGTCCTCCATATTTTCAATTAAACCCTCTTCAACCTCAAGAACAACAACTTCTTTACCGTGATTGTTTTCAGCAAAAACCATCAACCAAACCCAGCTTTGAGCTTGAAGTTCATTTGTATTCCAAATCCAGTAAAACAAAAGGGAAGAAAAACGGATCATCAAGCTTTTTCGGCACAACCCAGAAAAATACAAAAACATTCAGAGCATTTTCTTCCAATTTCTGAAACTTAAGTCATATCTGAGAAATAAGAAGAATGTCAAACTCGTATAATCCTTTCCAGCCAAACTCGAAGCCGACTCTCCGGATCCACCATTGCTACTGCCGCGCCGCCGCCTTTTAATGCCACCACCGCTTATGTAACTTCTGAATCCACAAGTTTCG